GACTGAAGTGAGGCATATTGCCGATCGGGTTCTTACATTTACGTGTAGTCTATAGTTGAGTGGAGTTAAGAATGTAGTGAGATCTATTGCCGGTTGGGTTCAAAGACCGTAGTAAGGTATATTGCCGTTTTGGTTCTAAGACCGTAGTTGGGTCTATTACAGCTTGGGTTCAGGACTGAAGTGAGGTATATTGTCAGTTGGGTTCTAATATTGTAATGTAGTCTAATGTCGAGTGAAGTTGCTGGTTGGGTTCTAAGACCGTAGTTAGGTCTATTATCGGTTGGGTTCAAGACTGTAGTGAGGGATATTGCCGGTTGGGTTCTAAGGCCGTAGTTAGGTCTATTACCGGTTGAGTTCAAGACTGTAGTGAGGTATATTGCCCGTTGGGTTCTAACATTGTAATGTAGTCTATTGTCGAGTGAAGTTGCCGGTTTGGTTCTAAGACCGTAGTTAGGTCTATTACCGGTTGGGTTCAAAGACTGTAGTGAGGTATATTGCCGGTTGGGTTCTAAGACCGTAGTTAGGGATATTGCCGGTTGGGTTCTTAGATTTTTGTCAGGTCTACTTCCGGTTGGATTATAAGACTGTAGTGAGGTATATTGTCGACTCAGTACGAATATCCCAATGAGCCTGACCTTTTAGCCTATCATAGAGGAAAACATAACTGGCTTTTTTTCTTCTTGACGATATATAAACAATAAACAAGTAATAAAACAGGACGGCGAATCAATATCAACAATAAACAAGAGCAAAACACAAACAGAGGATGCATAGCGATCAATATCGATTACTGGTATTTACATTTTTTGACAAGATACCGGTATCTAAGGTAACACGGAAACATGGATGTAACAAAAACATTTAATTGTTTTTTCCTCGCATGAAGATGCAATGTAAACGATGGCTAATTAACTGGCGAGAAAGATATCGACCTGTCAGTTATTATGTAACATAGCTAGACCACTGCTTTCACAAGCTTGTGTACACACTATACACCTGTCTAGTGTTTCTAGTGTGTACACCTGTCTGTAGTGTATAGCGTGCTCACCTGTGTGGTGTGTATAGTGTGTACACCTGTCTGTAGTGTATAGCGTGCTCACCTGTGTGGTGTGTATAGTGTGTACACCTGTCTGTAGTGTATAGCGTGCTCACCTGTGTGGTGTGTGTAGTGTGTACACTTGTCTGTAGTGTATAGAGTGTTCACCTGTGTGGTGTGTATAGTGTGTACACTTGTGTGGAGTGTATAGTGTGTACACATGGATTGTGTGTATAGTGTGTACACCTGTCTGTAGGGTATAGCGTGCTCACCTGTGTGGTGTGTATAGGGGGTACACTTGTCTGTAGTGTATAGCGTGCTCACCTGTGTGGCGGGTATAGTGTGTACACCTGTCTGTAGTGTATAGGGTGTACACCTATTGTCTGTAGTGTATAGCGTGCTCACCTGTGTGGCGGGTATAGTGTGTACACCTGTCTGTAGTGTATAGGGTGTACACCTATTGTCTGTAGTGTATAGCGTGCTCACCTGTGTGGCGGGTATAGTGTGTACACCTGTCTGTAGTGTATAGGGTGTACACCTATTGTCTGTAGTGTATAGCGTGCTCACCCGTGTGGTGTGTATAGTGTGTACACTTGTGTGGTGTGTATAGTGTGTACACATGTATGGTGTGTATAGTGTGTATGTACACCTGTCTGTAGTGTATAGCGTGCTCACCTGTGTGGCGGGTATAGTGTGTACACCTGTCTGTAGTGTATAGGGTGTACACCTATTGTCTGTAGTGTATAGCGTGCTCACCTGTGTAGTGTGTATAGTGTGTACACCTGTCTGTAGTGTATAGGGTGCTCACCTGTGTGGTGTGTGTAGTGTGTGCACTTGTCTGTAGTGTATAGAGTGTTCACCCGTGTGGTGTGTATAGTGTGTACACTTGTCTGTAGCGTATAGAGTGTTCACCTGTGTGGTGTGTATAGTGTGCTCACCTGTGTGGTGTGTATAGTGCGTACACTTGTCTGTAGTGTATAGCGTGCTCTCCTGTGTGGTGTGTATAGTGTGTACACTTGTGTGGTGTGTATAGGGGGTACACATGTATGGTGTGTATAGTGTGTACACCTGTGTGTAGTGTGTAGCATGTCCACCTGTGTGATATGTAGCGTGTGTACACATATGTGGTGTGTATAGTGTGTACACCTGTGTGGGGTGTGGGGTGTGTACATATGTGTGATGTGTATAGTGTGTACACCTGTGTGTTATGTATAGTGTGTACACCTGTGTGATATGGATGGTGTGTACACATGTGTGGTGTGTATAGTGTGTACTCCTGTGTGATATGTATGGTGTGTACACATGTGTGGGGTGTATAGTGTGTACACCTGTCTGTAGGGTATAGCGTGCTCACCTGTGTGGTGTGTGTAGTGTGTAGACTTGTCTGTAGTGTATAGAGTGTTCACCCGTGTGGTGTGTATAGTGTGTACACTTGTGTGGTGTGTATAGGGGGTACACATGTATGGTGTGTATAGTGTGTACACCTGTGTGTTGTATATAGTGTGTACACCTGTGTGATATGTATAGTGTGTACACCTGTCTGATGTGTATCGTGTGTACATCTATGTGGCGTGCATAGTGTGTACATCTGTGTGGTGTGTATAGTGTGTACATCTGTGTTGTGTGTATAGTGTGTACATCTGTGAAGTGTGTTCACCTGTGTGGTGTGTATAGTGTGCTCACCTGTGTGGTGTGTATAATGTGTTCACCTATGTAGTGTGTATATCGTGTTTACCTTTCCGGTGTGTATAGTGTGTACGCCTGTTTGGTGTGTATAGTGTGTACACATGTGTGATGTGTGTCGTGTGTACACCTGTGTCATGTGTATAGTGTGTACACCTGTGTGGTGTGTATAGTGTGTACACCTGTGTGTAGTGTGTAGCATGTCCACCTGTGTGATATGTAGCGTGTGTACACATATGTGGTGTGTATAGTGTGTACACCTGTCTGTAGTGTATAGTGCGTCTACCTGTCTGGTGTGTATAGTGTGTACTCCTGTCTGTAGTGTATAGTGTGTACACCTGTCTGTAGTGTATAGGGTGTACACCTATCTGTAGTGAAAAGTGTGTACACCTGTCTGTAGTGTATAGACTGTCCATCTGTGTGGTGTTTAAAGTTTGTACACCTGTCTGTAGTGTATAGTGTGTACACCTGTATGTAGTGAAAAGTATGTACACCTGTCTGTAGTGTATAGACTGTCCATCTGTGTGGTGTTTAAAGTTTGCACACCTGTCTGTAGTGTATAGTTTGTATACCTGTCTGTAGTGTATAGTGTGTACACCTGTGTGGTGTGTGTAGTGTGTTCACCTGTGTGGTGTGTATAGTGTGTACGTATGTCTAGTGTGTATAGAGTGTTCACTTGTGTGTAGTGTATAGTGTGTACACATGTATGGTGTGTATAGTGTGTACGTCTGTGTGGTGTTTAAAGTTTGTACATATGTGTGGTGTGTCTTGAGATTCTTAGATAATATTTCACATCATTTTACTTTTTATCCGTGTAAAACCTTTAGTTCCACAAAATAAAAAAGGCTATATCAATAATGAGTAATCCGTATAAATGACTAACGTAAAAAGGAATGATGACCTTTCATTTTAATTGAACAGTTTAGTCGTCTGATGCCATTAAATACAATGAAATTATATTGTCTATATTTAGTTTTTATGTGTATAATATCGTACGTGAGAACCATCCAGAATTGTCACCTTGTAATCTCCAGACGATGACGCATATCTGTCTGTGTGATGTTGGTAAAGATCACACCCTTCCATTCCGAAATCCTGGATATATCACTATATCATGTGGTCACATTTCTCATGCACCTCATTAACATATCTTTACTTCGAAACTTAAGTCAATCAATATTCAGCCTATCGGCGACCCTTTTATATAGCACAGTATCCCCAGAATCAGGAAGGGCATGTTAACATCATATTAACGACCTCTGTTCAATTGCGGTAAAACTAGAGAGAATTCCATTTTGGTATTTTCGTATATAGAGTTACCTCCCTTGAATTTCGTTTTGTTTTTGAAGTAAAATATTCGAATCATTGTCTAGCCCCATTGTATTTTTACATTCAAACATTTATTTTTCCATAAAAGTCCCGCAATGTTTGGTTTTATTTTCATAAATGGTCTATCAAAGCTACCGTGAAGTTAGTAAACTAGGTCGGACATTCTTTAAAACGCTACACCCTTTAAAAGTACAAGGGAAATTATTCTAATCTTTCTGATTTTCCTCAAATACGGCATTCAACTTTGTTGTAAAGCATCCTTATACCAAGGGGATCAATGTCGTATAAATGAAGGATTTGGTCCCCCATCCCCAACCCTCGGGATTGTATTTATGTATAATTCTTAATCAATGAAAAAAATAGTACAATGTATATATCAATACGATGTCCGTTGTATTTGTTAGTCACCTAAATAACACTTTAAGTAATTCAATATCACAATATACAGTGCGTATCAGACATCAAATGTAATGCCAATGTTGGGACAATGCTTTGGCCGTGGACAAACAGTGCGATATTTAATCAGAAAGATACAGGTATATATACCTGAGTTACAGGGAGGGTCTGACACGGCTAATACGTGTCCGGCTTTAGAGAATTATCATCAGACTCTAGGTGTGAACAGATTACTACCCTCACACATAAAGGACCTTATCAGCCACAGACTCAATAACACTGGGCCAAGTTTTCCAAGATGTACACGCGTCACACTTCTATCTTAAATCATGTTTAATTCAATTTGAAACGCCCAGAAATAAAATTTGTAATAATTCGATCAAATTGTTTTAAAATTTTGATTCGTCACACAATCAGAATATCTGTTTTTACCTATGCATATTTGAAAGGGAAATTATTATGTTCGCGACCTGTGCATGAGACACACCCCTATAGGTAGAGGCGCATTAACTTACCATTCTCACCTGAAGGTCCGATACAGGTAGCTGTGTAGTAGGAGACAGCTAGACATCACTCTGGCCCGGCAAAAGAAAATCCATACATACACGTGTAAATTGACAGGATAGTAACAGCAAATAATACAGCGATACTAATCCTTGGATTTCTCACCTGTGAACGCAAAACTACGGATTTTCCCCCCTTTTCGTCTTTCGAACATGAGGAGTGGTTTTACGTAATTGGATTATTGCACTTTTGGGTATCACCAACTCAATCACCGCCTGGGGTATTTCGAATTTTCGTCATTTTCCGCTTTTTGGTAAGTGTAATTTTTAATATTTCTTTATTCCAAAATGTTGGTACTGTCTTGGATTATGGGTGGAATTTGTCATACCATGTGCTGTAGAGGAATTCGGCTTTCGTGTTTCAACACGTGTCTATATTTAACTACAAACTAATACAGTATTTTTATCAATATAATTAACATTAGAGAAAGTAATTATAATTTTTCTGATGTCTGTAAATGTCAGACGATTACTTCAATTCAACCGGTGAAATGATGGATGTAACAAGTGTTACATTTCGATAATTTAGTAGCAGAGATAAGTTATAGAGTATACCATTGTCTCCTCGTCCCGTCTAATGACGTTTAACGCGTTCAGTGAACCGTGACTAATTAATGAGCACCTGTAGACCGGTATCTACTACACCTGTCAGCCGTTCCTATCAGACTCAAGTCCACAGGTAACGTTACAATACGTTCATAAATCAAGACTGAGTGTCTTTGCTGTGCCACACCTACACGAATGCTATACAATTGAAGATGTACATGTTTAGACGTAAAAATGGAGGAAATTGAATTAACATTTTTTTTTTTAATAAATACTAGTGGTCACTAGATTTTACACGGGGACATACAATATGATTTATGTCCAGGATTATACAACATGAGTGTGTCTGTTACACGTAATCTGTCGACTCTAGTTTGCCCTACTGTTTTGTTCGGTGTGTCGATCCTTTAGCAAGGGATCCGGAACCAGCATACTCCGACGATTGCTTTAGACTAGTGTTTCTTGTAGGTGAAAGCCGTCGTGTTTCTGTGAAAAATATCGTTTACGTGTAGACATCGCCTTTGTAAAAAAAAAAGTGGTTTGTGAAAACCTTTGTATTGTGGAAACCTTCTTAAAGGATCCCCCTACCACTGCCAAAACATGTCACCACACACGGGAAACTGTTTATGAGGCACGACAATAGCTTTGATAAATCATTTATGAAAAGATAACCATACCATTTGGCACTTTTATGAGAAATAATAAGGATGAAATAAACAACATACGATCAACAACAATGTTCTGTGTGTAAAAATTCAGCGGGCTAAACCGAGATTCGAACCATTGCCTTCAGTTTGATACACTATCGCACAGCCGATTTATAACTTCCTGGTAAACGGAAGCATTGTGGTCCAAATGTGCTACCGTTATAAATCCTAACGGAAGTTAAAGAGAGGTTACTGATAGGAATAGTTTACCAGAATAAGCCGAAACATTATAATTATTTATCAAGAGTAGGCCAGAATATAGCGATACCTTTCCCAAGTAAGCAGAGACAGAGGGATATCATATTTCCGTAGTAAGCCGTATCATAGCGGTATATTTCCGTTGTTGTCCGAGAAATAACGATATATCTCCATAGTAAGCCGAGAAATTGCGTTATATATTTCGTAGTAAGCCGAGACATAAAAAAATGATACCTTTCCGTAGTAAGCCGATGTATAGCCGTATATTTCCTTAGAAAGCCGAGACATAGCGGTTTATTTCCATAGTAAGCTGAAACAAAGCGGTATATATTCCGTAGTAAGCGGTGACATATATAGCGGTATAGTTCCATAGTAAGCCGAGACATACCGGTATATTTCCGTAATAAGTCGAGACATAGCGGTTTATTTCCGTTTTTATCCGGAACAGCACTTCCTTTCGATAGAAAGCCGAGACATGGCTGTTTATGAAGCTTTGTTACAGATATTGACGTGAACAATTTACACACAATATATGAAGTCCAACATTTCCAGGCGAGTGCGTGGATTAACATTGATTATTTGTCTGTTTGAACTTCTTCGAAGTGTTGTTATTTATGATAAAAGAAATAACGATTATTCTTAATCTTTATATAGAGAAACGTTGTAAGAACCTACCCGGCGGAGTATTGTATGGAGATCTAAGTGATTTTATGCCAAGTTTATTTGAAATCTGAATGAGGTTACACGCGTAGTAGCTAGGGGAGAAAACGACGTTAACGACACTAAACACCTTCTCCTCATACCAATTAATGTGTGTAGTAAGATATGAATATTCATGAAGTGGTGATAACATTCCCGGGTACATTCAAATATGACTGGCTGAACAAGCAGTATACACTGTTTATATTGATGTTAATCTGTAGTAAACCATGACAGGGGGTCGTTTATTACACGAGAGGCAGTGCAGTACTGCTGTGTTTCTTCAGCGTGCTGAGTGAGCAGTATCACATCAGTACAACTGTACCCAAACTCTACAGGATCTCTGACGGCACTTTTTAGTACGACTTTCATTTATATATACTCCCAAGCCACATATTTATGTAATGGAAGGTGCAGCTTAGGTGGTCTCGGTTTTTTTGTGACAAGGTCAACACAAGGTCATTAAGGGTCAACACAACAAGATCAAACAAAGTAAATACAAGGTCAAATAGGATCAACACATCAAGTTCAATAAAGGTCAACCCTAATATCAACCCTAATATCAACCATAAGGTCAACCGCAATATCAACCATATGGTCAACCAAAAGGTCAACGATAAGGTCAAATAAGATCAACACAAATTCAAACAAGGGTCACCACATGTAAAGCAAGGTCAACCACAAGGTCAAAAAGGTCAACACAATCGTTAAGAATAACACTACAGTTGTCGAGAAGACAAAGAGAAGGCACACCAGATAAACATCTTTAGTCTATTTTCAGACACATGTAATATGCTATTATGACGTGGCGTAAAGGAAAGATGTAAATGTGAGATGTTGGTTTGGGGACATTTGATTACTATGTCGGAATTGAACCAGGTCCATCGTCAAACGTAATATGATATGCTGATAGTAAGCACCACGGCAACGTCAGTGCACTCGATAGCTACATAATGTATCAATCATTGATCTTAGTATGATCCAATTTTAAATTTCTTGGGCATCCTTTTATCGATGACGGTTCGTTTCCTGCATGGAGCTTTCACTTCATGATTGTATAAATAATTCAAAGTAGCTGGTATACTAACAGTAAATCGGAAGCATATGAGGTAATAGACATTTTCTAATCATACTCCGTTTACGGGGAATCAGGCATTGTTTGTATTGCTGGGTCGAACGATACTTAAACCCCATCATTAACACGCATCGCGGCGGACTACATTGTATACTTGATCTAAACTAAGGGCAGTGAACTACATGTATATTAGCATTAATATTAATACCCAGCCTCCTCTGCCCCGGACGACGCAATATATACAAACATCTCTCGTCGTCAGAAAGCTACGTTATCGCAGCTACATGTATACAAGTTCCAAGGTGGGATCTATCCATGCAACTTTAGGATGAGAACATGTTCAAACACTTCGGGAAGGACTTAACCTAGCCCCAGAGTGGGGACCACACATTTTACTGTAACTAACCTCGGGTTGGCTACTTCACTAATCCTTTAAGGTGGAAACTTTAACTAGCGTAAAGGCAACAAATATACTGCCCCCTAAAGAAGCGTTACATTATTTATAATATAGCATGTTCATAACATCATAAATAAAATAAAAAAGACGTAATTTCTTTGTAATATTGTCCCGGGGCCCGTATTGGCTTGAGGTTAGTCATGTAAACGACGACAAAATTCAGTGAAGCGTAGCATTGTGCTCGATTTACGCGCAGAAGGTTTAGCACGTGTACCGTGTATACAAGGTGTAAACGACTTGTTGGTTAGTACAAGGAAAAACGTCGTTTTATTTGCGTCGAATCAAAATCAGTCAGTTCATGGCTTAATGACGTTAACCCTGAAAGGGTCACTGGTATGATACAGGGTTGAGTTAGGTACGCTGAGGTCGCTTGGCGGTTTGGTACGACCAGAATAACCATATCCAGGCTTTGGAGCAGGTTTACAGCCACGAATTAGACGGTCGATCGTCAAGTTCGGGGAGGCCACGCATTACGTCACGAAGAAAGGACATGTATATCAGCTTACGTTATCTGCTTAATCGGGTAGTAACAGCGGCAATTACTGCTGCCAACATCTCCAATCACCGTTGCATTATTCCACAAACTGCAATCCGTCGGTTGGCCGAGGTAGGGCTACCTTCTCGCCGATTTTAACGTATAACTTAATTGACCCCACGTCATATCCAAAGTCACTAAGCGTGGACACGACAACATTTACGATTGTCTCTACGGCAGTGACAGCAAGTTTTATTCATGGATGAGTGCCGATATCTGCTCTATCGCTCAGATGATAGAAAGCGAGTGTATCGTAGGCGTGATGAACGTTATCAGGACGCCCACACATTACGTCATCATCGTTTTGGCGGTGGATGCGTCATGGTGTATTGTGGGATATCAGTCAATGGGCGCACAGACATTGTGATCGTCTGAATGCTCAACGTTAAAGGGAGCATGCTTCGTACTAAATGTTGTTCCCTTCATGGTGACAAAAGGCGGCACGCTTCAGCAATATGATGCACGTGCTCATGTTGTACGCGTCAACTTGGACTTTCTTCGTCAAAAAGGCATCCGTTTTCTTGATTGGCCATCGTTTTCCCCAGATCTTAATCACATTGAGCACCCCTGAGATCAGTTGGACAGACGTTCGACCAGTTGAGGACGGCATTATAGGAAGAGTGGCGCAAGATCCCGATGAGTTCTATGAACCGACTCATCGCTTCCATGACGACGTCGTTGTTGGACTGTGGCCAACACCAAGTGTTCTCGCTGGATAAACAGTAGGGAAGTCGTTTCATGGAGACATTTAAATGAAAACGAAGTCAATTTATTGATACAACACATATTGATATCGATTTTGACAGTGTCAATTAACATCAATTGCAACATTTTAATGAAATGCTATCAATACAATAATGTAACATTTCTTTGAGTGGCCAGTATAGATCTAGCCCCAGGATTCATTTTTTTAGCATTCGGGTGAGGAATCCATGTTGTTTCGCCGCGGTATGTAACTACTGTAATGTAAGGGAGGGGCTAGTGTCAATGTGCAGGGATTTATCTTCCCTAATCCCCGGCTGTTACATAAAGTAGAC